CTGCTATAAACCATTCTCAGGACTTCCAAACCTGGCTGTGTGCCAGAGACTCTTACAGGGAGAGTGGGGGCTGCTGTTTAAAAGTTTCATACTCTGGGCTCCCCCCAGCCAATCATGTCAATGCGGCCTGGGAATCTGTATTGTATCAAACTTCCTGGGTGACTCTTATACCATGATTTCAGGGGGTGTCTTATTTGGGCTCTGCCAGAAGCAGCCCTTGTGCCAAGGACTCAAGTGCACATAGTTTATTGGGGAAGGGAATTCTAGGAAACACAGGTTGGGGAGTGAGGACATGAGACAAGGAAGTGAAGGAAGCTATAAAGATGTGTTATTAACCAAGTCACCAGTGTGGGCAACTAGAGACGAATCCTGTTGGGGAATTCTAAGAGCCAGGGTAGAACACAGCCTCAGAGCTATCCCCGCAAGAGGTGAGGGAGCTGAGGTTTTTATCTACCAACTCTTTACCTACCATCTTGCATCAGCCATTCTTTCAGTGCTGCTACCAAGGGCATTAATTTCCTGGCACTTCTGTCCTGTCTTGTGTGTGGATGGAGCAGTTGCTATTGTGGGAACCCCTCAGGCAAAGAGTCTCAGTGCTGGCAGTGGGAGGTCGGGCTGGTGTGTGTGACAATGGTATATGCTAAGGCATAGTGGGCAACATACCAACAGGACCTGCTATGGAGGGCTGACCAGCTCTCATCTCTCCACCAAAGAGGGGATATCCAGCCCCTGTGAATTATTGCTTATCATTCCTACCAATGAAAAGAACTCCTGGCCTCATCTCTTGCTGATAGGAATGTAAATGGTACAACTGTTGTGGGAATCGATTTGATAGTTCCTTGATAAGGCAAATGTAGAATTACCGTAGGACCCAGCAATTCCACTCCTAGGTTAATACCCAAAAGAACTGAAAACAGTGTTCAAATAAAACCTTGACTACAAATGTTCATAGCAGTACTATATATAATACCTCAGATGTGGAAACAACCCAAATGTCCATCAGCAGATGATTGGATAAACAATAAGTGGTATATCCATACAATGGAATATTACTCAGTCATAAAAAGGGATTA